ATATATTAATACTAGACACCTTAAAGATAACATGTACCAAAAATCAAGTATGTTAACACACTTTACAAGCCTTTTGTTTTGGAGCTTTGATGCAGCCATCATCTTCTCAAGGTGCAAAAAATTATTATCTTGCTTAGTGTTTGTGTCTTGTGTTCTAGTATAAATATCTAAACATTCTTGAATCAAGATGAATTTACTGTACAAGTAAAATGATTTAAGATATTATGTCTTGTTTTCTGTAAAAAAAAATATACAAATTTTGATCGTTTTTCCTTAAAACAAGCAAAAATATCTGGCAACGGTGCGAGAAACATAATCTTGTTTAGTTGTTGAATTCAGATTATTTTTCTTACCCCATTAGCAGATATTTTTGCTTGTTTTAAACCAATTTTTTTAGAAAAGAAGACTCAAGTAAATGCATCTCGATTCAAGAATGTTTAGATATTTATACTAGAACACAAGACAAAAATACTCATGCAGTGCAAACAGGAATTTAATAAAATGCTCTGGTCGTGTGACAATTTGCACTAAACATGTGAAACTGCACATATTTGAGACCCTTCATATTTGCAGAAAATGCACTAAAACACCAGACAGTCAATTTTCAGAGCTTTATAAATGCAAACCGTCTTTACGCTCACTATTGTGACCGGTGGGATTGAATGGGTTAAGAAATGATCACTGAAAGGCTCTTTGAGGAGCCACAAATGCAACATTTTGGAGCCTTTATTTTGCTCCTCTCACCTCCCACTTGGTCTCCTCCAGGCGAGGCAGTATATCCGCCTGCTCCTTGCGGTAATCCAGACACTTGTGCTCCAGCTCCTCTCTCTGTGCGAGCAGAGCGCTGATCTCGTCCTGGAGCCGGCCCTTGTCCTGCTGCAGACGGGCGATGTGGGTCTGCAGGGCCTGCTGTGTGCGCTGGGCTCGGTGGGTCACCTGCTGCAGACGGCCGGCGTAGTTCTGCCTCAGCTCCTCCATGTCTCGCTCCCAGACGCAATGCTTCTCCTCGAACACCTGCACGATGGCCGCCTCGCTCTGGTCCAGGTTACGCCGCATGTGGATCACCTGAGGAACAATCACAGTCATTTACTCCAGGTACAGGTTTCTTCAGCCTGCCATGTATGGAAGCACTGAATTTTGCTACAAATATCCCTCGGCGTCATGATGAAAATGCAATCCTAAGTGTTCTAACTGTTAGTCTAAATGCATTTAGGACAAATAGCATTTAAATGATCATTTTGCTACCATTTCTGCTTGAACATGTTACACATATCAAATCAATTTGTGTTATACATTTTCATTTTCATTTCGCAACTTATAAAGCGTTCAAATTTGCATTCAATATACATATTAAGACTACTGTTGGAAATGGCAAATGTAAATTATATAATACAATTTTCATTTTCCTTTTGCACCAAACTTTGCACGTATGGTTAATGGAAAATGTAAATTTAAATACAGAAATACATTGCCGTTTTGAATATTGCATTTTAAATTGAATTTGGCTACCTATATGCTGCCATAGCCATGGACCTTTTTCACATTTGCAGGTTTCTCAGGTTTCGCATTTTTAAGATCTAAAGTTGTATCCGTTACCATTAGTTTGTGCATTGTGAACTAATATGACAATTTTATTAACTTTTTTTAAGGTTAATATTGTAAAAAAAAAAAAATATATATATATATATATATATTTTTAAAGACCATATTGTAAAGTGTTACCAAAATTGTAAAAGTCTAGAATCTTCATGAGTTTAAAATAAAGCAATAAGCCCCAAGAAGCCATGGTTTACAGTGAGTTTATAACAGCTAAGGGGTGTTGTTAGGTACGACGCGAAGCTGTTATAAATTCACTGTAAACCACGGCTTCACGGGGCTTATTGCTTTTATAAAACGGTTACTCCATATACGTAGTAAGGTTTCACAAAATAAAACGGAGCAAATAAAGTGTAATGATATTAATAAACACAGTATTCTTCCACCAAACAATGTAGCTCCTCAGAAACAGTTGTGGTTGCTACAAAGTGGTTGCCGAGCAACACACAAACGTAAACAAAGGTGTGTGTTACTTTGTAGCGTCATTTACAACAGCTTCGAACGCGGCTCAGCCAATCAGAATCAAGCACCGGAACTCTCCGCTTTATAACAAAAAGTAAGTAATATTCAGAAAGACAAAATCAAGATACATTTAGCTGAGAGACACTGCACAACGTTGCTTTGACGGGAAATGTAATTAGAATCAGTATCTAAGATTAAAACAGAGCTAAAATATCTAATGAATACGTGAATGGAAGTTATTGCCGTAACTTGTGACCATTTCTTTGAGTATCATGTTTGATGCATCAGGTTTTATGGCTCATATAGATTATAGAGCCCGACCGATATGGGTTTTTTGGGGCCAATAACGATACCGATATCAAAATATCGGCCAATATTCTTTGTGTATATTATAGTACAGTACCAGTC